ACGCTACACAGTCATCACATTGGAACATATCGCACGTTACAAGAAAAATATATGAAATAATGTTGATTTGCAAATATGTTGTGATATATACTTTTGTATCAAATTGGTCAATGAGTACGTTTCTTTGTTAATTTTCTCTCACAAATACATTTGTCACCAATATATAAATGATGAAGTTCATCCAGTCAATTTATCTTGTGTTCACCACTGACTGATACTAAGATCGAGGATATTCAGTTGATTTAATTGATGATGTGGATTGTACACCAACAACTGGTTATCATGATGTAGTTGTTGTAGGTGTCTGATGGTCTGTAACGTAAACTTTGAAGGAAGTACTTAACTAGATAGTGAATGTGATGTGGTGTGAATGGAGATGAATCGGATATTTACAATGTAGATTGTCACAAGATCTAATATTTCCAGTGAATTTAATGTTTCCACAACCTAGCTGATGGTATGTGATGTGGATAGCAACATAGGCTTCATGTTTTAGTGTAATCATGCTTTTTAATTTCATTCATAGCTTTGAACAGTAGTTCGTGTATGAAATGATGAATGTGATAAATGAAGTAGTGTCAGATTGTTCATTTGTTGTGTTCATTTAACTACATGCAAAATATTTCTGAAACGACTTAGGATGTGATGTTACTCGAGCATCCATTGCAGAAAACTAATAAGATGTTTTTTATTACATCTGTAAACCTTAGTGGTGATTGTTATTATTCTGAAAGAAAGAAATGCTAATAATATTTTTTGGGTCCATACCGAAATTAGATGCTTTATCACGAAGCATTTTTCAAACTACTTGGTATACTTTCAAAACGGATGCAAGCAAAAGTTTAAAATTGTCTGAAAGGGATCGTTATACATAGACTCACGTGTTATTTTTGTGGGACTGACAACGTATCCTTGCATTCTGCGAAACACGAGATCAGCGTAGAAGTGGAAGTGTTTATTTTTACTCTTTCTGAATATCATAAGTACTCATTCTATCTTTTGGATCGTATTTCTGATGAGTTTAAATGTTGTTGGCTCGAAGACACCAAACAAATATGGTTCAGTAAGGGGAAAGATGTTATTTTTCAAAAACCCCTATGGACTCAAATGGATTACACTTTTGCTTACAATGCCAATTATTTAACATCAACTAAGAAAGATTTTATTACTAGTTTTGGATAATGTACATATTGAAAATCTTGTTCGTTGAGTCAGGAAAAATTATTGTATTTGAATTTGTAAAATGTACATTAAAGTCAATATTAAAGTGACATGAGGATTTTGTGGTTCTTGTGATATTAATAAAAATACCATGTCATCTCTCTTTTTGTAACACTGTATATATAATCATATCTGCGCTCAGTTACGGTTTGAAATTCCTGAATGTTTACAGTAATGTCGTGTTTCTCAGTTGTTCAAAAATAAGGTCTGGATACTGTAGATGAGATTCTCTATCTGAACTTGTGGTCATCTACATACACGTGTACGAAATGCAACCTTCTAAAGAGGTCGACGATGAATCTCTAGAAAGTTTGTTTAGCATTTCGTAGACCCAAACGCATGTGCGAAATTCCGTAGGGTCCAAATGCAGTAATGATAGCGTTTTGAGGAATGTCGTAAGTAGTCATGTGAATTAGGTTATATCCCTTAATCAAATTGACTTTGTAAAGAAGAATTGTACCTCTTAAGGTAGCTGTCAAGTTGTGGATGTGTGGCAAGGAGTAGCAATCGAGAGTGGTTATCAAATTAAGTCATCGACAATCAGTAGGTGGAAGGTAATCATTGTTGTCCTTTTTATGGGCCATCTCAATGAAGACGCACAAGCGCTGTTCGGTAGCTAGATCATTCTTAAGTCCATCATACGCTTGAATTCGTTTTTGGCCAGTCTTAAGTTTTGGGGAGTTATTCGGCGAACCTTCGAAAATACAAGTGGTCATGTAGTCGTGATATAATGTGCAACATTGCTAGTTAAACACGAGAATTATAGTCGCGTTTGGTACAATTTTGGGTATTTGTCGAGTAGTCGTTGATATTATGGATCTATTATGTACTTAACAGTGATTAAGCATAACCTATATTCAGAAAGTGATGTTACAAAGAAAGATAATTCAGTATTCCCGTCTGCCATCCTCCGATTGCTCGTATCGATAGATAGCATGTCTACACCAATGATTGCCATAGAACCGTCTATCACAACAAAAATCCAGTGAGTGAGTCTGCACAAACCCATGTTTAGACAAACATATCTCTTACTACATGTGGCGACCTTCTTTTCACTTTCCGCCAGTAAAGTGAAGACTTGATGTTGTTGATGGTCGTCGGTATTTGCTGGAAGAATGCTCACTTCTTCTCTAGTGTCGACGAGGTAGAGACTTTTCTTTGTTGATGTTTGATAGCTGGCTATTACCATCGGCCACGGTTTCCGTTGACACGTGCCAGTAGGAAAGTCTCCTGGGAGGTTCCTTTTGACGGAATGTTTGAAGTTATTGAAACTGAAGTCTTTCCCGCAAATTCCACAAGACTTATTTTAGATATTGTGGTGCCAATACTAATCAGTGTTATATGTTTCTTTTCCCTGACAGAATTCTTTGAGGAATTTCAGAGCACCTGCGACTATGATAAATATACGGATGACGAATGAGAGTGTGAGAAGGATCTGTAGAGTCATTTTCGTGTTGTTTGGGGTTTTTGCTTGCCAAAATAGACCTTGGCGCTAGGGGTCATAATAATGTCCAGGGTCTGGTTTGCAGATTCAGCCAGTTCATATACGGCATATTTTTGAATGGGACAATAATAGTGTGCACATGTTAGGGAAGCTAGGACAAAAAGAGTCGTCTAAAAGGGTCTTAGTCAAATATCCATTGACCAGCGACAAAGGAGCTGCTCTAACGTCTCTCAATTGGCTGGGTCTCCAACCTTAATGACAATCTTTTACTTCAGGTTGTAAGTTTTTCAGGCATGACCAGTTAACATACTAGGTGTACCATACTAGTTAAAATTGCGTAGTAGTTCCTCACTAATGAGAGGGATTATTGACGTGGGTCTGTCACAATGTGTTGTTCGAAGTCAGATACTGTATAACAGAAGCATGTTTCCATGTTATTAGGGCAGAATCTAATTAGTTGGAACGTAGTGGACATAAGAGCCTGGCTCTTCTAAAGTTCGAATGTCTTTTCCAACAATGTGTAGAAAAAATATTTAAATGGGTAGAAAACAATCCGAAAACACAAAAATAATATCACTATATCTAAAAATAAAACTTAAAAACTGATATGTTAAGTCACAACAGATCCACAGTTTATTGTTTGGTGTACCAGGTCACGTCGAACTCATAACTAACGATTTCACAGGTATTCGAAGTTTGACATCGCTCTTACAAGTAACACCTTTATAATCAAAGTATACCAACCCAGTCTAATCAGAAGTCAGAAATGGAGGGATCCGAAGATGCATTTGGAAAGCTATCAATGTTTTGAGAAGCGTTTGATCTAAGCTGGCTAGTAGTTGTGGAAGATGTGTAGCATGGCGTACCCACTCGTGGTTTGGAGCAGATGCGTGACCAAGCTCCTTCAGCTTGGGCGTGTCTGTAGTGGCATTGGACCATGACCACACAATCCTCAAAGCTGAACACGAGATTACTCAGGAAATAGATGTTCAATATTTAACGCGGACAAATACCTAAGGATGGAGAAGGAGGAAACAAGGGATTGAATTACTGGAGTTGATCGAATGACAGGGCTCGGCCTCGCAGGCGTGGTCCTTGTTGGATGTTATCTTATATCTTTTATCCATATTTAGTATATTGTTCTATCTCTAGTCTAAGTTTGTTCTATATCATGTATTGGTGAGTGTTAAGATACGATGAGTTGGTGTAGACGATGGCATAACTTCTAAGTAAGATCTTATAGATTAGGAAGTTATATCATAACAAATCTACAATTTTAGGATTGTGTCTATTATTAGCTCAGTACTAACATCATAGTAGACCATAATTTTAAATATCCAGTAAAAAATAAGGCCAAGATCAATATCAAGGACTTACGAAACTATATACTTTAGCTATTTATCTACCACAGCATAACCTTTCCTTATTGTTAATGAATGGCCTACTGTGTGTTCAGTGTTGTGAGACTTTGCTATGTATAGGTGACCAAAAGATTTAAAGAATGATATACATTCCTTTTTCCTCCTTAATGTAGGCAAATTCAAATATCTAGCACATTCGAATTAATTCAGTTTCACATGCGTCATCACAAGATAAGTTTGGAATCATCTTAATTTGCAGTTTAGGTATCTCCTTTCATCAGTATACAGTAGCCAACAAAACATATTCTTTCCTGTTTTTTTCAGAAAGTTAGGGTAACCTATCTCTTGAATGATTAGGAACTACCATCAGTGTCTACTCAAAACCAAATCAAAAGAACGCTCCCGTATTAAAAATGATCGTTCTCTTGAGGCGAGTTCAAAGAGGAACAACCGTAGAAGTTTTTCGACTAAAAATCAAACCCAATTGAGCCTTCTTGTTCGGTTTACATCTGTGCCTTGTATAGCGTAAAATCATTAGAACAAACAAACTCATGGGTTTTCGTTCTACACATAGTCTTCTTCGTATCAACAGATCACCATATCACTCAATGTTTTTTTACATTTGAAGCATTATTCCACTTAGGAAAGAACATCAAAGAGCTCAAAGATCCGTTTGAACGTTTAAGCAGTTAAGATTGGTAGACTTTGGAACTTCCGACAATAGGCCATACCTGCTTTATTTTCAGGTGGATCCTACGAAACATGGTTTGATGTCGATTTAGTTTCCTAAGTATTACGAGGATATACTCCTTGGTCATTTATCATTATAGCCCAATGTTTTGACCTTTAGGGTTAAACGAGAAAACGAGTACTGCCGAATGAATTGGTTAATCATAGCTTTCGACCACAAAGAAACTAAGCTTCCGATATTCTTGTCACGAAATGTTTGAAATTTGAGCGACGGCGGACTTTACGTATTCAAGGCCGGGGCCAAATGAAAATTGAGAAAAGTGGGTCTTTTTAATTTCGTTTAAATATCTTGTCAAACCACTGTGCACTGCATCATACATGATAAAACCTCTGTGCACAAATGTTTTTCAAGCTATTCATGTTAATTATTTCGCGAATATTTGCCGTAACACATGGACAAGTATCTTTTACCACTTCCGTAGGTATATCAATATTGTATTTTCATATACTCATAAAATAATAAGAATCTTAAATGATAAATGGAAATGTATGCGAACAAGGGCGAAATAAACGGTACTTTGCGTTAGAAAATAAAGGAGAAGTGATGGGAAAACGCAACAGACTGTCCTCTTTTTCGCCTGCCATGGAGAAACAATGCATAATTCCACCGTTTTGTCGGTATGTGTTTAAAATGCCGCTGATTTGTCTACTTCTCGCCAATATACGCGCCGAATCGTTCACTATTCGCTTACGTTTTCGCTGTACGCCTGATTATACACTTTTTTGTCCACCTTTTGCCTAACCCCAAAGGTCACCTAGATTTGCCTTTATTTCCGTAACAAATCACATAACGACTGCAATCGACTACGTCAAAAAATGGCATATGGGTAAAGACATCTGACAAGAAAAATCATGGTATAAGGATATTGATCACAAACAGTTTATATAACTGCAGTGTTGCTATTACGTACTGAAATAATTTTGTGAATTCTGAAATTTTATGAACGCGAAAATTTACAACAATGCCAAACTGCCGTAATCTGTTTAACAATTTTCGACCTGAAGTATGACTTGCAGTTGTGTTTCCTGGTGCTGAACACCACCTATAAAGCGGCAATGAATAGTTATAACTTCAAATTAGTACGTACATGTTCTTGTTTTCTCCGATGATGCTTTTGTATTTTGTCTTACGTCGTGAAAATACACCTGCGTCGAGATGTCATACAGCTCGGCAAGTTGTTTTTTGTTGATGCATAAAGACGAGAATTGAAGTGTTAGTGCGCCTAATTATTAGGAAAATATTCTTTTTTCGTATGCATCCATAAAACCTGCACTTCTGAACTGCTCTTTTCGCTGAAATGCCAACTTGTGTGAAATGACTGGCAAGCTCAGGTTTATTATTATTATTATTTTAACACGTAAATATTGGTACAAGGAGACACCAAATACATATGCGCCACATAAATCTCATTCGATATGTGTGAGGGCTTTGATACTGCCCGGGTGCCCAAATCGATGAAGGTGGTTTTCTCAGGGTGCCACACCCCGAGCCTTTGACTTAAAGGTCTGACCCACAAGGCAGTGGATCATCGTGAGGAGATGCAGTCACATGGTAGCCGGTGACCAACGATCGGTTCACACGCCATTTGTTCCTTTAGTATACTGGAGCCCATATGCACCATTGGTTTGGAATCCGGTCAAAGCACCGAACATTCGCTTTCCGTCTTCTCATTTTCGTAAACAGCAGCCCCGCCACAAGAAGGCAATGAGTAGGACTTCCCTGGCAGAGGTTGTATACGCGCGGCCGTGCGAGAGCATTTCGAGAGGGATGACCGGCCCACCCTACTCTTGGCCATACCAGGGCATTTGGGGGCTCTAAATACTGAAATAACAATCGACACTCGCTTTTCATATTGAGACGGAGTCTAACGTCCGGCATTTACGCTGAAAGTCGGAGGGAGTACTTGCGAAACAACTTGATATGAACTTATTTTTATCCATAATTACAGATTTGTTCATGTTTCTAGGTCTTTACTGCGAAAAATCTGATCAATCTATGGATAGATAGGCGCATGCTCACTGTCTATTTTTACTCTGGAAGATCTTCACTTCCGAAGTTTTCGTGTGTCTAAGATAATTGTAAATATTCTTAGAATTTTTTCAAAGATATTTACACTTATCTGTTTGCTCTTGGAGTAGATCCATAAGCCCCCGACCGTTGTTGCTACCTTGACGTGGTGGTCAGACTTGCGTATCGTGATGAAGCAACCGAGCTATACTGGCTAGAACAACCGTTCCTCAAGGTCCTACCATGTTAGACAGGTCGGTTGAAGAGCGGTAAGACTAAAAGCAGCAAACCCAAGGTCCCAAGGCGAAGTCGTACTGCTGACTGTACACAGGTGTGACAGGAGTAAGGTGTTTCCTTCAGACAACCAGCATGACAGTGACGCTGCCTTCCCACAGGGAGGGGTGGAGCTAGAAAGGGTCGACCCTAAAAAGGCACACCTGCCTTATCCCACGGTTATCCGTCTCCGGCGGTAAGGTCTCAACAAGTACGGAGCTAACACAAAGATTACTCATAAAAAGGTCGTTTGTGACCGACCTCAAGCAGTTGTCCCTTGGGCACTGCGGTCACGCTCCCAGGTCACTAAGACCACCTGTAATCCAATTTCCTTTTCAGGCACCTCCAGAAGAGCCCTTCCACGGTGTGGGTAACCGGGGAGTGATAACCGCCCTCATACCTCTAACAGCACTTAAGATCACTGTACTCATAATCAACCTCCGTCTTCACTTCCTACTATTCCTCCTACATCGACTTTCACCTCTAAACTTTCTTTTTCGGCTTCTTTTTCAAGTGTCACCATAGCCAACGATTCTAGTGCTCAAAACACTGTCCCAGGTCTATTGAAGCCTCACTCCAAACTACACATTGGAGCCTTCAACGTACGCACCCTACGTCAAATCGGTCAATAGGCCTCCTTGGCTAAAACCCTAGAATCTCGTACCATTGATGTATTCTGTGTCTCTGAAACACGCACACAGGATCCCAGTGTGGTCATTCACTTGAACTCACCTCAGCAAAACGGAGAGCCAACGAGATACACCCTCCGTGTATCTGGTGACCCGACGGTCAGCTCTCGTGGACTGGCTGAAGTAGGGATAGCACTAAGCATGAGGGCTGAACAAGCACTATTAGAGTGGATCCCCGTTAACAGTCGTTTATGTACTGTTCAGCTAAACGGCTCCGTAAGAACTCGGAAGGATAGGGACACACGTCGTTGCCTTTTTGTCGTTTCTGCCTACGCTCCCACCGACTGCAGCTCAGATGAAGTGAAAGATGAATTTTACAGTAAGCTATCTGAACTTCTTCAGAAAGCTAAACGTTCAAACATAGTACTCGTAGCAGGTGACTTTAATGCCCAGAGAGGTATTTTAAACCAAACAGAAGGGCATTTAGGTGGTTTTTTTAGTATTCCGGCACAACGAACAGATAATGGTGGTCGTCTGCTGCAACTGTGCTCAGACAATCGTTTATTTTTAAGAAACACAAATTTGAAGCATAAGGAGAGACATCGTCTAATATGGCGACCCCCTACACCAAGCCAACGATGGACTCAAATAGACCATATTGCCATCAGTCATCGTTGGAGAGGTTCGACAGAAGACCGTCGATCGTTCTGGAGTTCATGTTTCGACTGTGATCATGCTCCAATACGGGCACGCATCGGCTTGCGCCCCACTGGACGCAAAAAAGCTACACTAAAAGACCCATTAGGACTGAATTGAGTAGCGAGAAAACCAAAAGTAGGTTCCAGGAACAACTGAGGTCACACTTAGGTAGTTCTGAAAACGAGGCTGACCCAGATGTTGCTTGGAAAGCTATACAAACAGCTATGGAAACAACGGTAACATCTATCAGTGATTTAAACCACATGGTTACAAAGAACCAACGGATTTCCTCAAGGTCTACTGCACTGATGGATTCTCGTAAACTCATCCCATCAGGCTCTGAACACGATGAAGAGCGACAACAAATCAGATCTAGGTTAACCAAAAGTCTAAGGAACGACCGTGAGCAGCGGTGGGCAATGAAAGCAAAAGAGATGGAAAAGGCGGCGGCTATAGGGCACACAAGACAGCTCTACAGACTAATAAAAGAAACTGGAATTAATAAGTCAAGTGTAAGTCAGACTATTTCAGAAAAAGACGACACCCTCATCTGCTCCTCAGTCCAGACGTTTAGAACGATGGGCGGAACATTTCAGAGGACAGTTCAGCGGACCTTCAGCTACTCTACAACTACCCTCCATTCCCAGACAGTGTGAATGGAACATTGAAGTAGGTTCCCCAGCTCTAGCTGAATTTCAAAAGGCTATAGTTAATCTGAAACGAGGAAGGGCAGCTGGTCCAGATGGATTGGCTCCAGAGGTCTTTAAGGATGGTGGTCCAATTTTAGCGATTAGATTGACTAATATTTTAGCTAAGATCTGGGAGTTAGACGTTATCCCATCTAACTGGTCACAATCACTTATCGTCCCAATATATAAGAAAGGGTTAAAATCATCCTGTGACAACCACAGAGGGATTAGTTTAACTAATATAGTGTCTAAAATACTAGCCTCGATAATTATTAGACGCCTAACTAAGACTCGTGAACTGCAAACACAAGAGAATCAAGCTGGCTTTAGACCTGGTCGTGGCTGCATCGACCACATATTCACCGTTCGTCAGGTTCTAGAATATAGGCATACTTATCGGCGTCCGACAATGGTGGTCTTTCTTGACTTAGAAGCAGCATTTGACTTGGTAGACCGCGAGATTCTGTGTCAGTGTCTGTCATCGAAAGGCGTATCTCAGAAGTACATAAACCTTGTGAAGACTCTACTCGATAACTACCAGACGAGTCAGAGCTTATGGCGAACTGTCGTCTGCTTTTGCAACCTCAAGTGGTGTCCGTCAAGGCTGTCCACTTTCTCCATTTTTGTTTAACTTCACCATAGACCTATTGATGGAAATAACATTCTCGTCTACTAAATTCTCGGGTATTGATCTCCTTCCAGGAGGTCCACTTATCGACTTAGAATACGCAGATGACACTCCTGTTTGGTGAAGACGCTGATAAAATGCAGTCTTTTGGTAGCACTAAGCAACAATGCCAGAATGTTTGGAATGCGCTTCTCTCCCTCTAAATGCAAGTTGTTGCTTCAGGACTGGTCTGCGTCAACACCTGAACTAAGGATAGGGAGTGAAGTTGTCAACGCGTTCGACTACTTCACTCATCTTGGAAGTGTGATCAGCCCTAATGGGTTGGTGTCCGACGGAATCTCAGCACGGATTCGAAAAGCTCGGTTGGCTTTTGCCAACTTACGTCACCTATGGAGAAGGCGAAATATCCGTTTATCAATAAAAGGACGAGTATACTGTGCGGCAGTCCGTTCTGTCCTACTTTACGACAGCGAAACATGACCATTAAGAGTAGAAGACACTCGTAAGCTACTAGTATTTGATCACAGATGCCTTAGAAATATTGCTGGCGTCTGCTGGGATCACTGGGTAAGTAATAGTGAGGTTAGACGTGCAGGGTATTAGGGAATGATGGTAAATCAGTTTATGAGGTTGTGAATCTTCATCGACTGAGATGGTTGTGCCACGTGTTAGGTATGCCTGAACACCGATTATCATGACGTGCAATGCTAACCGGTGTTGGAGATGGTCGGGAGAAAGTTAAGAGGGCGGCCAAACCAAAACGTGGCATCAGTCCCTGAAGTCACTAACTTTTAGTCTGAGCCATGTTGGTAGATGCAAACTACTTGGTTGGGGTCTGCGTGACTGTCGTAACCAATGGTTGGAGACTGTGGGTGACATGGCTCAGAATCGATCACAATGGCGTCGGTGTATACACTCTCTGTCTTCCCTTAAACTAAGAGATTAAAGTCACTCCATATCTTTCTTTCTACGAAATAATTCCTTCTTCCTGTATTATATCCTTATTGCAATCTTTCTTTTATATATTACCACCTCTGAATTAATTACTTTTATGAATTCGGTGTCCATCTTGTTGTGTTAATGAGATATGGCAACTTGGACCGATGCATATATGTGCCTGGTCCTGCGTTGTAGCTGACTGACTGACTGAGGTCCATAAGCCGTATGTTTTCAATCTTGCTGTATTTGTTCAAATATCTCATATTTTTAATATCTACCGACAACTGTTACAAACCTTCACATTAATTAAACTCCAATTTCAACGCAGGGAACTTGGAAAACTAGCTTTTTGTATCAATTAAGATGTACAAATGCGCAGATTGTCACTTGTCTTTTATAAAGTGCTTCATAGTTCACGTTAAATTTACTTTTTACATTTTAGACAAAGTTTACGGTTCCAGTTATGTCCACACAAAATGTCCCTGAATAAATATTCTTCCTTTAAAGAGCCTACTGTAGTGTTGACGACAAGTTAACTGCTCTCGGATTTCTCTTCACAGGAATTAGAGGAGATACGTCTACCATCTCTTCTCGGTAACATAAGCTATGCCAAAAACGCTTAAAGGTCTTGTTAGTCGTCATAAGAAGCGTTTTCAACAAGATGGGTTTGATTTAGATCTGAGTTATATCTCCAGCAGAATTATTGCAATGGGATTCCCTGCTGTTAAACTTGAGGGTGTTTATCGTAATCATATTGATGATGTTGTACGCTTTCTACAAACACGACATGCGAACCACTACAAAATCTATCACCTGTAAGTTGATTTCTGCTAAAATTTACTTTTCTTAAATATCGAGTCAGTTTGTTAATAACCATGCATATGTTATTTATTATGAGTAAAATCTGCAGTATAAAACTTTTGGATTGTTCATACTAAAACAATTGGATTGTAATTTAACCTATGACTCAGTAAACAACTCTTAACAAGTTTACAGCAAATTTAAGAGGCTGATAGCCGGAGTTACTTTATCAGGGCTAACTATGCTTAGGCCACTCATTAGTCATGTTTAAAAGCGAGTTCATTTTTTTATCTGTCAACCGCGTTTTTGCGTTGTTTTATAAATACAGTACTCATCATTTTTGAGTTATTCGGAAGAAGTTCACTCCTTGTCTTCCCTTAGATCTTCAGTTCAAAAATTATGATATATATATATCATGAACTCATTCTTTCTCGAGTCATATCGTCTATGTCTTCTCTTCCACTGCTAATAATACTAGTGCCTCTACTCTCGTATTTGTCCTTATTGCCTCATCTCTGTGTTAATGTGGTGTGTCAAATTGAAAAGATGCACATATTATCTAGGATCTCGGTCGTGCATGACTGAATGACTATTTAATTTTAAGTGTTCATCCCCTTTGTTATTAGTTTAACCTGTTACCGTGTATATAAACAGAGGATAAAAATATTTCTCATGATAAAATCTCTATATTAATGTAGCCTCTTATATTCACGTTGATAGTTTCAGGAACTTGAATAATTTGAACATTGTCCTTATTATCGAGTTACATTATTTCGGATGAATTATTGAGAATGAATAAATATCATGCTGTTTTTCTCATCCCACGATAAGTTTAACCAACTTTCTAGATCATAATGATTAACATTCGCTACGTTCATACGATTTAAAGTTTAACATGGGATTTCTCAATAAGAATTGGGTGTTTGGAAATGAGGATGTGAAAGAGAAATAAGGAGATGGGTTGTTGAAAAATCAGTATCAAGAAGAATAGTTGCTCATTAGCTCTTGCTTCTTAGTAGTCTTAACGTTCGTTTTCTTATTTTTATTGGTTAGCTCTTCATTTATGTTTCATGGTGAAATATTTCCTATTACAGAATCTATTGAGAATTGGGACATTTTCGAGGCACGTTTAACCTAAGGAAACGTGAAGCAAAAGTTGTAATGTTCGATAATTTGTGCAAGGATTATGTGTATATTGATAGGTAGCTTCCTCATACTTGAGTATATGAATGTGCCTATTTATTAAGTGTTATGGACTGAAAAAGTTTTTCGGGATCCATACTTCGTTTCTCCGTGAATCTTTTTATCCTAACTGGCTATTTTGATTTGTTCATCTGACTTCTTAATTAGTAGGTGAAATCAAATAAACCATATTACTTTGTGGAATCAGATTCATTAAATCTTTTAAACTACAAATTTGTTTAAAAACGAGCTTGTGAGTTTCAACACCGTCTTGATCTTCAGTTTTTGAGTCTCGACATTTTTGCATATGTGGAAGTACTCTGTTGGTTGTGAATTTTTTCTTAGCAGTATGTTATAACACGTTACATGATCAGTATCATCAGAGGTACTACTCGTTGAATGCCTATCACAATTTCTGGCTAAAGTTGAGGAGATATTTGTTTAGCAGTAGCGTTTCTTTATCTTATTTCTAGATTGTCCACAATCGGTTCCAGTCATTCAGATCTATTCATTCCTTTTCTTATCTAAGTCTTGGTTTTTAGTGTTTCGTACTTTTCTTTACCTCATGTTAGTAGTTTTTTCTTGGTGTTTTTTTGTGAGGTATGTTAGATCCTATGTTTTTTATGAATAACTGGCTGAATTTCTGTTTAGTCATATATATATCAATTTTTCTGCGTTTTTTAGTCACGTTAGTCAGTATGTTTATATATGTAGGACTTAATTTTCGTTTTATTTTATATAAATGAACGGCTACACTTTTAAAAGTTATCCCTGAGATCATTATCGTTGAGTATTACGGTGACCCACCAACAAATTTCTTCTCTATATTTTAGTGCTAAAAATTATTGATCCCATTAATGACATACATTCTAGCATTAAGGTTCATAAATTAAAGTATTCTACTAAATTTTCGAAATGTCCATATGTGGCTATTTTGTAACATTTTCTGAAGTGAAATTAATTTATTATTTACATTTCTTTTCTTACATAATTGTATAGATGTGATGAAAGAGATTTTAACGTTTGTCGATTTGATGGTCCAGTCGCAAAATACCCGTTTTCTGACCATAACGCTCCTCAGTTTGAACAAATCATTGCTTTGTGTGAAGATGTAAATGAATTTCTTAGTCAAGATCCTAAAAATGTCGTTGCAATTAACTGTAAAGCTGGAAAGGTAAATCACCTAGG